AAATAGTTTAGTGGGACCGAGTGTTATCTACACGTGTAATCGTTTTGACGTTTTATGTGTTATCCAATAGTTCATCTGTAGATTATTTGAATTAAGAGTTTAACGCTAATTGCTTTATATTTTTGCCCCCTCCTCCCCTGATTTAAATCCTAGCTACGCCCATGGCTGATACCATAGTAATAACAAGTAATAACATCGGCTTAATGTACATATAAGAGAGAGTAAAGTATTATATTATTGTATATAATTAGCCGTAATGATTTGTGACGATTACGGAAAAGTTCCAATTTCATGATAAAGACTCGAAGCATAATATATTATTTGAGAAGAATTTGTATTTACTAAGTTGTGTTACAAATCCGGTGAGGATTACGTACAATATTTATGTTTGATTATTATTATATTTGTCCCATGATTCGTTTTAAACACGAATATTATCTTAAGATAAGATAATGAAAATCACCTATGTTTATTTGAGAAGATGCTATAATATAGCACACATATTCCTATTAAATAATAAGATCATATTGATTAAATGTGTCTATAATTGCTTTTTATTTTAATTTTCAATTAGAGTAAATCTGATTACTATAATTTTACAGTTTAAGAACTGTTAATTAATTTAATGTGTTAAAAGACGACAAATAAATTTCACAACCATTGATTTTACAAAGTACTCATCCTACGATATGTCATATCTGATTTTATGATTCTGCCGACTAGGACGTGAAAAATCCATGGCAAGCTCAATAAAGATGTTACACATCGATTTATATGAAAAGTTTGCAAGAAACATAATTTGAGTATTTATTTTACATATAAAATTAGTTTCTAATGATCATTAAACAAAATCCGGGTTTTAAAGAAGAAAAACATTTTTTAAATAAATCTTCATTATGCAACTTCAGTTATACTAGTTACCTCATCAACTACTTCATTAATACCTTGCGTATAATAGCTAATATTATTCAATTGAAAAATTATCGTATAATTTTATTATTGATTCAAAGTGTACCGTCCTTTGATGTGAAATGTTGTGTCCTAATATTTGTTAAATTATAATGTAATGACTATTTTATCGTAAAAGTTTAAAAAAAACTGATAAGGGATAACTTAAAAACGTAAAAGACTAAAAATTATAAAAATTCAATCTATACATTATTTAAATACTAAACTTAGCTTATTGTGGCACATTAAAATATTCTTATGGATATTAATTAAGATAATAACTATCGATAGAAATTAATAAAAAATTTTAGGTAGAGTTCAACTAAAAATTAATTAATATTTTACGTAAAATGGATATTTATTTCATAATTATTGAACTGTTTTAGTAAATCTTTAGAGAATTATTGTATTGTTTTAGAATTAAGATCTTTTGGAGTTTTTTATTGGTCTAAAATATGAAGACCAAAAAATATTTATAGAATAAAACCAACAGAATTGTTTATTCTATCTAAAATTATATTTCACTTTTTTCTTTTTTTTTTAGTGATTTTATTTTTATTTTTTTACTTTCAGATTTTCATTGTTGAGATTTTATGTGTCTGTTATATACTATTAGAAATAGGAAATATACGAAATATATATATACTTGTAACTAGAATATTATCAAATTGATTAAATAAAAAAATTCGAATGTACTTTATGAACAAATATTTTCCAAAAGTAAAATACAAAATACGGAGAGAAATATGAATACGAATTATTTGTGTCAAAAATAGGCTTTTTTTTATATAATAATTTTTTTTTAATATTGAAAAAAAACCATATTTTACCATATTTTCGTGCTGCTCGGAAATAATTTCATGAACTATTTTTGTTAACCATAATAATGATTGTCGTATGAAATTTTTATAATAAAAATGAAATATGTAACATTGAAGAAATTATTAAATATGACAAAGAACACTTATTATAAACTATACAATATACTCGTAATAATTGAGAAACCACCAAACGTTAAACGAACTCGAACCTATTCAATATCTACCATACGTCTATATCGATTGACTCAGTTGTAGAAAAGGAACTTTTCCTTTCGATTATTTACGGTAAAACAACCTTTTATGTATACGTATACTGTAATTGCTGCTTCAAACAGGTTAAAGAACTAAGAATAAGATTCTTCCAATTTTTTTCCTTGTCACGTCTGGCATAAGCTATTTCATTGTATACATAATATTTAAAAAAGATGTATGATATGTATTATTAGAAAATAATAATAATTTTCTAACAACAAAATAACCTTATACTAAGCATATTTGTATACCGAGTGGTACAAAAATATGAAATTATTGATCTTTGAATAACATTTTAAGTAATGCTGATCACATAAAAAAAACAATTAAAATAAAAATGATGATAACATTAACTTTTTGGTCAAACCATTTGATTTACTTTTTAAAATTAATATTTATTAACATAATATACATTATGTATTATAAATTATAAATTTAGCTATTAGTATTTAATTAATCAAATCAAAGTGTAAAGTTTATACCCATACACCTTTTTTTTTTTATTTTTTTGATTAATTATAGTTTAACAGATTTGGTAACAAAATTATTAAGTAAATATACGAGTAATACCTATGTAGTAATGTAAATGAGTGTCACCCGATTGCGGCTCAAAGTGACCTTTTTTCCTTTTTGATACTCCGGTTGCAGTTCGTATAAAGTAGATAAGAAATACTGTATTCAGTGGTTTTTATAATATAATAAATATCCCGATTTTATCCTACGTATTTTGATTTGAATAGAGTGGTCTAACATTTAGGCGTGAATGGGGCTTTCTAGTTCATTAAAGATAAGAAAGCCGATGAACTGTAAGATTGCAAAGATGTATGTAGAGATACACACAGTTATATATTGCGCTGTAATTACTTACATTAACAAGAAATAATACGAATTAAAAATGAAAAACTAAAAAAAAATAAAACATCTAGTTCTGAGTTTTTAAACATTAGCATGTAACATAAGTCAATCATTACGATGTTTAAATATATTATTGATTGACCAACTATAAAAATTTTATACTAGATATTTGCTCAATATTTAACTATTAATTAACATTTTATTTTATATTATAATAATTATAATTATATTATACGCAGACGCATGGTTTTATGAATCAATGTGTATTCGCAATCGGAATACTTAAATTTGGGGAGCAATCGTGCTACTGTGTTTGGGCCGCAATCGGACGTCACCGATTAAAATTATCTTAAGACAAAAATGCTGATCCATTGGCTCTCCGTTTAGAATCTTTTTTCGAAATCACTAATGCTTCAGTTAACAATTTTTATAACACTAAACTTGTATCAGTCACTCGTACAGTCATCCTATATATCGTTTCATCTCCGTATTGTTATAAAAGTTAAAATACAATTATTTTTATTTTTCTGGTTGCAGTTTAAATCTACTTTAAAAGTAAATTTTGATCTTACTACATGTGACTGAATAACACTATAAGTTATTTATGTAATATCAATAATGTAGTTTTTTGGTTTAAAAAATGCATGTGACGTGTTTGTCTGAAACATGCGTCAGGTGTAGAGTCGTAGAACTGATGGATAGTGTATTATGAAAACGCGTTTTTTTTATTAGATTTTTTTTTTGTTGTAGACTTATGATTTTTAGTGGCTGATGATTGAAGATATCGTTATTGCACCCTACAAAATATTAAAATAAATTACATGGGGTAAGAATCTAAAAAAAAAATAAAAATAAAATAATAATGACGACAAAACAAAAATTAATAACTGTTGTAAAATTATTAAAATTTCGAATATTAGCGTTTTACTTTATACCTTTGTAATGAAATGTAAAAACAAATTAATGCTTGTTTCAATTATTTATTTGTTTATCGAGTTTGCTAACTAAATAAATATTATGATCTTTTGAAAAAAAAATGTGTTTTCAATAACAAGTATAATATTGTTATTGATATCTTTAAACTTTTAATTACGAGAATAAGACTTAGCTCAAAATTAGGTTATAAACTTTTAATTAGTTATTGATGTATACTTATAGTTGTAAACTAACGAGTGTACAATTTTAATTAAAGTTATGAGAATGTTTTGTTTAGGATTATACGCCACAGTAATGAGTTATTATAATATATTTGTTTGTAGACATTTTTTTTTTTAAACGATAGCTGTACAATTTCTTTAATTCATAAAAATCTTTAACACTATTACACAGTGTATATATACACGTATGTGTTATTAGAAATTATCAATATATTAAAATAACATATCACATTTAAATGTCATTCAATTCACGTTGTTTTTATTTTAAGTCAAGCAGCATAAAATCAAATTGTCATATTCATTCACACTAATATATCATTATAATAATGTTTTTATAACTAATACATAAATATTTTTCTAACTACGCTGTACAAACGATGTTTAGTGTTATTGGTATGAAAAGGCCTGTTCTAGACCTTTACACAGCATCATACTCAGCCGCTACCACTTAAAAATGCAATGTTTCTTCGACTTCCAGAATCACAACCATCCGACAATGGTGTTATGGCGGATTTTGACAGGGGTAGAATGGTGGTGGTGAATGGTATGTAGATAGCTAATAACCGACCTTTTCAAACTACTAATATTTATCTAACAATGATTTTGTTTCGTAAGATATCGATTTTAAAGAGGGAAAAATTGTGCGCTTTCTATATAGCATAATATAAATTACTAATAAAACATACGTCGCGTAACGTCAGGTTTTGGAGTAATAAAAGTAGTATTAGAAGTATTATTTGTCTCATCTAAATTCAATTACATTTGCTACGTTTAACGTTATACATCGAAATAAAAACAGAACTAAATAAAAACCATACTATTAATAATAATAATAATAATAATAATAATAATAATAATAATAATAATA